CCAGAAACTTCTTTTGGGAGATCGAAGTTTGAACGAGACAGAAGGGATGGAGAAGATCTAGATCAGCCCCTTACTATTCAGTTTGGTACGTTACCTCTTGTCATGGCTAGTAACTATTTACTAGCCAATGAGTTCAAGAATAAAGAGAAAGAGAAAGAAGAAAGAGAGGAAAACGAAGGAAAAGCATGCGTGCTGGAATATGAAGAAGGCCAGACTTCTAGAGAGGCCTACAATGGTGAGGAAGATGATGGTATGATAGACATTGAAGATGAAATCGATCTGGAAGCAGAAAGAAGAAGGAGAGGAGTATCGTACAATACTCTAGTGAAGCAACTACATCGAGAGGGAGTTCGTGAAGTAGACTTATTGGGAGAACCATCTGGACGTTCTTTCGATTTTTACGTGCTGTACGGGACGCCCAAAAGAAAGAAGAGAGTGCCTCGCTCTGAAAAGTATGGATCACCACCAAGAATAATGCCTCCTCCCACAGGTTGGGTAACTGAAAATGAAGCATTAGAAAACAGTAAAAAGGAAATTCAGGAGATAGAGGCTCAGTGCGATATGCTGCACGTTGACTTATCACAAAAGGATAACTCGATAGAGGACAAGCAAGAGGTAGAAATAGAGGTTTCCGAAAAGGTTATTTTTAAGCGGCCAGCTATAAAATTGACTAAACACTTGAGGCCATTGTACGTTAAAGCTCTAGTTAACGGCATACCTGTGGCAAAAGTGCTTGTTGATAATGGAGCAGCTATAAACACCATTCCATCTTGGATGATGAGAAAATTTGCAGAGACAAAAGGGGATATGATTCAAACAGAAGTCATCCTTACAAGTTTCAATGGTGGAGCAACTGCAGCTAAAGGAGTTTTGCCATTGGACATAACTATTGGGACAACTACTAGGACCACAGTCTTCTTTGTAATAGATGGTCCTACTAGTTACAATATGTTACTAGGAAGAGATTGGATACACGGAAGTTGCTGTATACCTTCATCGCTCCATCAATGCCTGATTTTTTGGAATAACAAAGGTGAAGCAGAGGTGGTGCAGGCCGATCATAGGCCTTTTGTTGCAGAAGCAAACTCAATGGAAATGTTTATGCACGAAGGAAACTATGGACCTGTCAGGGTAGTCCAAGATGGGGAAGAAACTCAGATTGTTGCGCAGAGTGAAGAGTCATTTTCAGTGGACGCACTCACTGAAATGTTCAGTCAGATGAGGCCAAATATAGTGGCCTTAGAAGAGCCAGTAATTGGCAAAAAAATAATCAAGGAGTCTTGAATGAGTTCTAAGCAACAAAAGCAAATGACCGATATTCAGGCCTTCAAAGCCAAATTAATGGCTTTCAATAAAGAATGCAAGGACAAGACGAAAGAAGAGGCAGCCCTGAAAGCATTGAAAGACAAATTAGCAGTATTCGAATTAGAACAAAGTATTGGCCGAGAAGTGAACAAGGTGGATTGTTTAGAAGAAGAAGTGCTTACAAGGGAGCTGGACGATGAAGTAATGCGGATCATCAAGTCTGGATGCGCTCAAGCACAAGACCCTTTGATTAAAGTAAATATTGGCAATGAAGGAGAAGATCGTCCAACATTCATCAGCTAGATGCTCAATCAAGAGGTTAGTGATAAATTAATCGCTTTGTTAAATGAGTATAAAGATTGTTTTGCTTGGGAATATGAACAAATGCCTGGTTTAGATAGAGGCTTGGTGGAACATAAATTACCAACTAAGCCTAATTTTAAACCTCATAGGCAACCTCCCAAACGTTTTGCTCCTAATGTACTCCCTAAGATTAAGAAAGAGATAGAGCGATTATTAAAAACATGCTTTATTAGAACAGCCAGGTATGTTGAATGGTTGTCCAATATCGTGCCAGTACTAAAAAAGAATGGTAAACTAAGGGTGTGCGTGGACTTTAGGAATTTAAACATAGCCACACCCAAAGATGAGTATCCAATGCCCACGGTAGATTCTTTAGTAGACTCTACTACCGGACACGTCATGTATTCTTTCATGGATGGGTATTCAGGATACAATCAAATTTATATAGCTGAGGAAGACATACACAAAACTGCCTTTAGATGCCCTGGGTCTCTAGGATGTTTTGAATGGGTAGTCATGCCTTTCGGCCTAAAAAATGCAGGAGCAACTTAACAAAGGACAATGAATTTAATTTTTCATGATATAATAGGCAAGTTTGTTGAAGTGTATGTAGATGATATAGTGGTCAAATCCATTAAAGAAGAGAACCATTTCGAACAGTTAAGATG